ATTCAATCGATCAATCGTTATTGCTTCATCGAACTTCAGCTATAAGTTGTTGCCTGATTCTCAAATATCCAACCCTTAACTGTTAACATTAAACAATATGTGTATGTATTAATCTCAATAGATACAATCTACACTACAATTTTGAGCGCTTTGCTAAAACTGGGTTTATATGTTCAATTGTAGCTCCAACAAGATAAATTATGACAACCATTAGACTGCTTGTGTATAAACTCTACTCATGTCATAGTTCAAAGTTTATTTCTCTATTCCCAAATGTTAAGTGCAGGCTTAATTAATTATACAACTGAGAGTAAGTTTGTCTAGGGTCTAACAGTTTATACTTTACGCTCCTTCTATTCCATCCCCTTCCCCACACAATATTAGCCTTGGTGAGTGTGTACACCACCCCACCACTCCTCACCCCCACCCCACCCCGACCCTTCACTTCATGTGACTTCTCCACTTTCTGTTGTATTTCTTGTTTGTTGTCTTGATAAAAAAAAATTCGACTTGAATTTTTCTACTATAAATAACAATTCAAACTCTAATTTTTTAGCAGATTGTTAGCAAAATAGTTACATTACAAAGTGCCTTATAAAAACACAATGTAAACACAGACTATTACGTGTAAGACTGTGATACTGAAGGAGATCAATAATTAGTGCCTTAATTTGTTTCGCTCTAGTCTTGCCCAATGAATATTATCATGAACGACATTAGAATTGTCCATCGCTTTGTTACATCACCAATCACCATGTCTTGCCAGAGCTTTACACTATTTTCGTTCCATTGGCGTCATTCCTGTGTAAAAGTTGCTTGGAAGTGTTATATTTACATACATACACACACACACACACACACACACACACACACATATATATATATATATATATATATATATATATATATATATATATATATATATATATATATATATATATATATATATATATATATATAGGTGTCTGACGAAGATAATAGGTAAAAACACTTATGTATATGGGGCATTTTCACGGTTTAAATTATAGGTTTTGACCCTTGGAATCGCACCATCCTGATCTTCCACATTTTAAACCCGAGCTAGCCATGAGTGGATCTGGACACGCTAAATCACAAGGGGGCTAAAGTCTCTCTCTACACATGAGTGTAGTTACCAGTGTTAAGTAAGAGACCTCAGTATTACAATGGTGCTAAAAATAGAAACCTGGAGCCTCGTGAAACTCCGACGCAGATTTAAATGCTATTGTTAGCGAAATAATGAAAGGGGGGGGGGGGGGGTAGAGAGTAATGGGTTGTAAATCTTTCGGGTATATTTAACTTTAAAAAAAAATTAGAAATCGATAAACTATTAATACAGCGTATATGAAATATTAACATTATTACGATACATGTTTTAATATATGCAGTAGCTTAGCGAGGGGGGGGGGGACGTCATATGTCCCCGGGCGCCGACCTTAAATCGAAAAGTTTGTCACCGGGCGCAGGGAAGGGTGGCTACGCCTCTGAATATATGTAACAATAGTATGGACATGAAAATGAGTAATCTTAGGCCTTATTAAGATTAAAATAGAAGAACAAAATGTATGTATTTATTTAATTTCTATACGGAAATTAGTGTACAGTAAAAGTGTTGAGAAAGTAATTATTTATTTTTCGTGTACTGTACTATAAGTTGGTACAGATGGCATTGATAATTTACGATAATTTCTTGTTTTGAATGGTACAATTTATTTTATTTATTTCTGTTATCGTGAGAGTGTACTCCCTTTGCAATAATAAAATCGTGCAGGAAAAGCTTCAAAGAATCAGAGCTTTGTAGACCTAATGTGACATAGTGCTTATCACCTCTGACCATCTAATAGGTAAATATAATTGGATGGTCAGCTCCGTATAAACTATGATATTGTTGTGTTTCTATTGACCTTACGACACAGGAACACAATGGGGAGGTCATCTCCCATTGACCTTATGACAATGGAGAGGTCATCTCCCATTGACCTTATGGCAATGGGGAGGTCATTTCCCATTGACCTTATGACATAGGAACACAATGGGGTGGTCGGCTCCTTATAAACTATGAAATTGTTGTGTTCCTATTGACCTTACGACACAATGGGGAGGTCATCTCCCATTGACCTTATGGCAAAGGGGAGGTCATTTCCCATTGACCTTATGACATAGGAACACAATGGGGTTGTCGGCTCCTAATAAACTATGATATTGTTGTGTTCTCCTTGACCGCGTGTCAACAGAACGCTACAATGGATGTTATTCTACACCAAATATCTCATTCAATTTCAATTTTAAAAAACCTGTATGTGTGTTATGCTAATCTGATTGCAACATAACTGTTTGGCGAGAATATATTTATTTATGAAAATGTATGCTGAGACAATAAAAAAAAATGTTTTTGACATTGTGGAATCATTATTTGTTGTCTTCAGAGTTTAAACATTAACACATATAAGAAAATTACTGTTGTAATAGTCGACATATGATACTCAGACCGCTTAGCTATAGTTTTAATTTTTTTTTAAGGGCACCATGGCCCAAACCCTGCAACGGGGGGGGGGGGGCGGAGGGCAGGTGGTATCCAAGTCCATAGCTCGAAAGGCTCGAAGGTTAGGGGCCTAAAATCCGTTGCACATTTTTCAATGTAAAAGTATGTTTGTCATATCGCCCTGAATCAGAACGTTTTCCTACGCGTGAGCTGGTCTCATACGTATGTGCATCCGAAAAACACGGTTATGTTTTTTATGCATTACTACACCATTCATCCGATCGCCATGATAGTAGAGGAAGTACAGTCAACCAGAGTACTGTGTCATCCGGAGCGCCCCGGGCTCCCATATGAGCACTACGGCCCACTACATTCGTTTAAAAGTTCACAAGGAATAGTTAGGTTACTATATTCAATGACTAAATCTAACCTGGGGTTGTACATGCACCTGTCACCCTTTCTAATATTATAACCGGTGGCTTCCAAGTCAAGAGCCCTGTGACGTCCCTAACAACTGGACGGGGGGGGGGGGGGGGGTGATCAGCGTAAACTAAATGTTTGCTCACCTCTGATTTATTTATTGTTCTTAAAAAAAAATTTGTATCCAGTCCGTCACTGTGTGGTACACCTAATATTAAATATAAATAATCATAATCAATAATAAACAAGAATAAACATAATTTTAAACTTAAAATTCTCGGGATCCACCAAGAAAGGAAATCATTAAAGAAATATCAGAGTGGCGGTGATACCATTATAATAAATTAATATTTTGTATGTATCTTAAGTGTCCAGCTATTTATTCGGTATGTCCAATTTTGGGCCGTTGTGAAAGTAACCATAGGGGCTTAAGTGAGTAACAGCTGGTTTGTTATACGTAGGTAGAGGGCGGGCCTATTGAAGATAGATCAATACTGGATTTAGCAAGCTACGACTTCTTAATTACCCTTTAAACGTAGATTTATTGGTCTCGCTATTTCATCTTTTTTTGATGGCATGTACAAAATGTTTCAGCGATTGGGTCTTGACACATCAATAGAAGATTCTCAAGCTTACGGTGCAGGTGCATTGGTGAGTTTGTGAGTAGTATATCTAGGGTTGTTACATCTCATTGGTGAGTTGGTGAGTAGTATATCTAGGGTTGTGTGTGCATTAGTGAGTAGTTTATCTACTAGTAGTTTATCTATGGTTGTTACATCTCATTGGTGAGTTGGTGAATAGTATATCTAGGGTTGTGTATGAGTTGGTGAGTAGTATATCTAGGGTTGTTACATCTCATTGGTGAATTGGTGAGTTGTATATCTAGGGTTGTGTGTGAGTTGGTGAGTAGTATATATAGGGTTGTTACATCTCATTGGTGAGTTGGTGAGTAGTATATCTAGGGTTGTGTGTGCATTAGTGAGTAGTTTATCTAGGGTTGTTACATCTCGTGCTGAAAACAACAAGTGTTTCTTTCAGATATTTTCTTCGGAGGGGGGGGGGGGAGCACTTGAATCTTCCGGGAATTTTAAATTGGTTAATGTATGTATGATGTTTATATTTTCTATATAAATCTAATAATTTGTTTCTATCTCGTGTGCGTGGAGGGGGAGGGGGGGCGTTCCGGAGGCACTCCCAGCCAGGAGAGATACATGAAAAACGCTGGAAGCAATAGAAATCATGGCGTTCGGAATTGGGTCAGCTAGGCTCGCATCAACTGAAACTGGTTCCATCTGCTCTAAGTAATAGGAGAAGTAACCGGCTCCGGTTAAATTGCGGGTTAGACTTGCTGATCTCTATGCATCAGGAAAGGCAAAAAAAAAAGGGGCGCCCAAGACAGACCTGGAGGCAGAGGCGTAGCGTTGGGCGCCGACCTTAGGGGGCGCCAAAATGGGTTGGAAAAAGTAATCGAAAGTTTGAAGGGGGGGGGGGTGCAAATCGAAAGATTGAGGGGGGTGCAAATCGATAGTTTGGGGGGGGGGATGAAAATCGAAAGTTTTTCCCCGGGCGCCGGGAAGGGTCTCTACGCCTCTCCCTGGAGGTGGAGTCTTCTTAAAGAAGACGGGGGTCTTGGGGGAGACTAAAAAATTCCCAGCCGGTGGGGCGAACAACGTGGAAGATTGTGGTTGAGGCCCTATACTAAACAATGAAAGAGGGCTAAGTCATGCCAGATAAAATAAAGCTTATGTTTCTGTCAACTCGACATGTAGGTGGTCAGTCCTTTTGATTATACTTTCTCCAAATAATGCCAGGTATTTAAAAGAACTGGGTGGGCTCAAGAACATCCCAGATATCGAGATTGTTAAAAGTATGGATTCGAGCTCTACACTACCATCTTGCTACGTTGTTGCTTAAGTGACGCATTTAAAAATACTTTGAGGATCCCTGACAGTGGGATTATTTTTTTCTCGAACTTTCTTACAACACAACACGTACAAGAAAACATCATAGCTGTGTGTAGTTCGAATCGATGCAATCGTTTGAAACTGCGTTTTATATTAGCTAAAACGACATCGTTTGGCCAGCCGACAAAGACAGCAAAACTGTTAGCCCTTACGGGAGATGAAGTGAAAGTAAATCCAACTTTCCTCGTAACTCACAAAAGAATGCACTCGCTGGGCGCTAAAACGGAATTGATGCTCCGATATTGGCTGGAACAGCTGAGCAAGAAACGGTGGGCCGACATGGGCGCCCCCCTCAGCAGAGAAGCGGTGTGGCGCACTTTGACCGGCTCCCTGCTTGTAATGGCCGTCTGCGTCACCGTCTGGCAGATCACCACGCCCAGCACCGAGGTCATCACATTGTCCTTGACCTCTGATAATGAGACGGTCAGGGCCATCTTTAAACATGTACAGTGAGTAGATCTAGTCTGTTTTCATTATACTTTGTGATTCTGCCTTTTATTTAAATATACAGCTCTGCAATAATAGAATAAGCTTGCAGGGACGTGGACTTTGTAATATTTTTTTTTGAAAACGCATCAACATTTTACATATGTATTTTTTTTAAAATAAATATAAATTAAAATATATATATAGGTCTAATTTTTTAATTATTTTAGATTTACAACAGTTTTGTTTAAATGTATAGCTTTATCTTTTAGGACTTAATTATATATTAAGAGGAAGGTTTTTCTGAACATCATTTTGAGATAGGCCCAGGTACTGTATGGTTTCACTATGTCAGCTTATAGTAGAGCTAGAAATCCAATACACCGACACATTGTCTGTACAGTCGAACCTCAGCAAATATTTGATTATCGTGTACAAAATGCAATCTTTCTAACAATGTTTCTTTTAATCATGTGTCCGGGGAGGGAGGGGGCGTTTCCCCAGTACGTCAACCGCCCCAACCCCCTAAATGACATAGAAAACATTACCTCTAAATAGAAAGTGTAGACTAATAATTTTCTAACCCCATCCAGGCCCCCCCCCCCCCGAAATTTTCATGTGCTCCCCCCCCCCCCGGAGCAAACAGTCTGGGTGGGGGAGGGACGTGCCCCTCTAACTACCACACGTTAAATTATTTCACTGAACTCTTACACTACGCAAACGATCACAACCACAAAGATCTTTTAGTTTTAGCTAAAAAAAAAACACCTTCTAAAACAAAAAATTTTTTTTTTAAATGTGTCACTAGACGAAATGCCGACGGGTCGATTGATTTTCTTTTCAACGTCCCACGAGACGAACCACCAACAGTGCAACCCGACACATCAACAGCTCGACCAGTGGTCAGATTAAGTTATCCGCTAACTCTGGACTCGCCCTACCTCATCAACAGTGTCAACTTATGCCCGCCCGGGTGGCCGATTGACTATATTATTGTCGTACACAGGTAGGTACTCCTACGTCTAGTTGGTACTGCCAGTGGTGTAACTATGGAGTAAAACGTAAGGGGGGGGGGGGGCGGGAGGGGGAGAAGGAGAGAGAGAGGGGCGGAATCAAATGTATCATGTCAAACTCATTTTGGTTCAAATTAATCTGCTTCCTTACTTTAATAACTGTAAATATTTATTTCCTTTTACTTCTGCTCCAGCTTGAACATACTAACGGTTTTGTTTGTTTATTTTTGTTTGTTTTTGTTTATGAGGGAGTGGGGGTGATTTATTTTTATCGAACTTATTATTTTGATACTCTGACTGCTTTGTGAAAAAGGATCAATGTATTTACTGTTGTGTCCGGAAAAGTAGGCCTTTTGTTGTGTATCAGTCCTACAAGCCTATGATGAAAACTGTTATACTACAGCGAACAAGAAAGGATGGCAGACTTATGCTGTCATTTATATGTCTTAGGGATTGAAGGAAAAAAAAGAGATAAATGACTGAAAACAGGCTCTAAATCAACCCTAAAGAAGAACACCGATACAAAAGGAACTCATGTTATTAATATTTTAAATTATATTTCTGTTATTTACAAAAACCATAGTAAATAATACATTTAATATTTAAAATCTTGACGAAGTCAATGACCCAAACCTGATTGACACACAACACTAGCTTTGTATTTGTTTTATTACTGTTGAGTTGAAATTCTCGGTTGTTTTGAGAGAATCAAAATATTTTAATATTATTTCTTTTTAATTTCTCCCCAGCGCCATATTTAATTATCCTCGCCGGAGAATCATCCGCGAGACGTACGGCTCGGCCAGGCTGTTTGGGTTGGTCACACAACGCGTCGTCTTCCTGCTGGGTCAGACCGGAAGTCTCGCAGACACCAGACTCATCCAGGAGGAGGCCATGACCCACAAGGACATCGTCCAGGGGCGGTTCCTCGACTCGTACCACAACCTCACCCACAAAGGCGTGCTGGGGTACAGATGGGTTTCTGAGCATTGTCCCCAGGCCAAATTTGTGATCAAAATTGACGACGACGTTTTCTTAAATCCTTTTAAACTCGTTCAAGAAGTTTTACCGCGGTATCAGAATAAATCCCGTCAGATCGCATGTCACGTCCGGCGGATAGGCGCGAGTGTTGTGGTCAGGGGGAAGGGCAAGTGGGTGGTCCACGAGGACGAGTTCCGGGGTCAAAGGGCGTACCCATTTGAATACTGCAACGGCTACTTTGTCATACTCACCGGCGATCTCATCCGGCCGTTGTTCCGTGCTGCAAGGATCAACCCTTTCTTCTGGATTGATGACGTGTATCTTTTCGGTATACTTCCGGCCACGGTGGGCGGGACTACGTTCAGCGATCTCCGCCCACAACTGACCTTGTCGTTCAACGTCGCGAAGCCATGTTTCGTCAAAGATGGCGCCAAATGTAGATATCTTGCGGTCAGCCAGTGGCGAGCTGACGAACCGGAAACACTCTGGTACCTGCTCTTGTCAAATATAACAAAAACGGTCAAGCGAGAGTTAATCGTGCATCCAAAGTTCTAATGTCCTGCTAAACCAAACACTTCCAGCACTGATATACACATTCTGCGACATACGACTAACACTTTGCTCATCGCGTTATTTGATTAGTTCCACAACCAAGTTTAAAATCTACCGTGTGCTTTATTTCATCTTTTTAGCTGCTTTCTTTACGCAGTCTCTGGGCATTTACTTTATCAAGTTAATTAAAAACTGGAAGTGCGAGTATCACGAGGAAACAAACCGTATAAACTGGGAGCGGAGAATAAACTGAATGAACAAATTAAATAAGATAAATTAATAACATTACATTTTCAAAGCGTATTTTTATGATAACGGTGGTCACTAGGCCTAATAAACTGCTTATTGTTTTCAAATTTAAACAGGATTCAGAACAACAATTTTGTCAATTAGAAATTATAATTAAAAAGCGTTCAATGTATGTGCAAATTTTGCCGTGTGTACAGTATTAAAATTAAAACGCAAAACAGGTTTAAAGTTATACATTTGGAGAATATTATATGACAAACTTATATTTAAATTCTTGAAAGACAGCATAAAACTTTGACTGTGTGTAAAGTGTAAATGAAGCAAGTTTAATTATAATCTCAGACAGGTTGGACATGTATGTCAAGTCAGCTTTGTAACTCTATACCACAGGGAATAAACCACAGTTGTCAGTTTTCTACTTTTGAGAAACATGAGATTTTGTGATGTAAATCCTTTGCTGTTTTATTGTAGCATGATTTTAAAATCCTAAATATTGAGGGGGGGTCGAAGTGGTTTTACGCTTTCATATAGTTATCCGTGATAGATATACACACACTAGTACTACATAAATTGGCGCTAACTCAAAAATTTTTTTAAAAGTGGACATCTATGGTTTATCCCGTATGGTTTTCCACTGTATTATTCTCAAACATGTTGTATTTGTACTTTTATTGTGTTAATGATATTGTTAATTATTGTTAATTATTGATGCTACCAGTGCCGTGGCTGGGGGGTGGGGGGAGGGGGTGGGGTAGGGTGGTACCGCTTGATCAACTGACATTCCATACGTATTTTACTACGTGACTTTTCATTGTAATATAATACTAATTGCTTATTGTGTATATATTGTATATGTAGTTTTCTTTCTGCATGAAATCGAATAAAGTTTCTGTTGTTAAACACAAATGCATTCAGCACGCTGTACGTTTTAACTAGCCAGCCGGAACAAACAGAATATTATACACTTTGTTTCATAGAACACATAAGATAAACACATAAGCCCACGCTCCTTAGATGGTTCATTGAGCTGCACCTGGAGCAGTAGACTTTGATGTATTGATCGTTGTAAAGTTTGATGTAGTCACCTTATTACACTTAGATGAAGCCTGTGGTAAATCTTGACGTGGCCAGTGGTAAACTTTGAGTAATCAATGTGGTAAACTTTGATTTAGCCAATGTGGTAAACTTTGATTTAGCCAATGTGATAAACTTTGATTTAGCCAATGTGGTAAACTTTGATTTAGCCAATGTGGTAAACTTTGATTTAGCCAATGTGGTAAACTTTGAGTAGCCAATGTGGTAAACTTTGATTTAGCCAATGTGGTAAACTTTGAGTAGTCAATGTGGTAAACTTTGATTTAGCCAATGTGGTAAACTTTGAGTAATCAATGTGGTAAACTTTGATTTAGGCAATGTAGTAAACTTTGAGTAGTTGATGTGGTAAACTTTGAAGTAGCCAGTGGTAAACTTTGATGTATCAATTGTTGTTACGTTTGATGTAGCCATGGTGGTACACTTTGATGAAGCCTGTGGTAAATCTTGACGTGGCCAGTGGTAACTTTGATTTAGCCAAAGTGGAAAACTCATGTAAAATAGTCTTGTTAAGAAATTACAAACATACAGATGACCAACAGATGTCATAAATACAGACCAATAGATGACTAATAGAAAACCTACATACGCAAGACCTACAGATGACCTGCAGTTGACCTACATAAGACTTACAGACTACCTGCTGATGACCAACAAATGACCCACAAATGACCTACAGATGACCAACAGAAGACCAACAGAAGACCTACAGAAGACCTACAGATGACCAGCAGAAGATCTACAGAAGACCAACAGAAGACCTACAGAAGACCTACAGAAGACCTACAGATGACCAACAGAAGACCTACAGATTAAAAACAGAAGACCTACAGATGACCAGCAGAAGATCTACAGATGACCAGCAGAAGACCTAAAAATGACCTATAGATGACCAACAGAAGATCTACAGAAGACCTACAGAAGACCTACAGATGACCTAGAGAAGACCTACAGATGACCAGCAGAAGACCTACAGATGACCAGCAGAAGACCTACATATGACCAACAGAAGATCTACAGAAGACCTACAGAAGACCGACAGAAATCTCACATACACGTCAGGTTGGGTGCAGGCAAAATCCTATGTGCATCCTCGCTGGTACGTGAAGGTAGACTACACGAATATGAGCACATCAAACACTAATCTAAACCTAAAGGACTCAATGACAAATAATAAACGTTTAACTGTTGTTGTTTTTTTAAATAATAAAAAAAAATTATTCTAACAAACTATAACAAGAAAAGCCACACACACCCCCTTCCCCAACTAAAAAATTAAGTTAACCGACCACAGAACATATGTGGCTGTGTGTGAGGTTGTGTGTAGGTGGGGGATCTTTGGGGGGGGGGGGTGGATGTAACCAACTAATGGCAATAAATAGTAATTGTCTGGACACTTAAAGCCTGAAGCTAAAACATTAATTAGAATTCACAGTGAGATCCACGCATGAGAATACAAATTGGGACACGATTTAAGACAACTCAAGTTTAAATGGATAACTTGATAAGCTGCTATCAAGGGTTCAATACTGGGTACTTTTTATCTCAGCATTAGGCTATTCTTAATTTGCAATCAATTTCCACTAAATACCAATTCAGAAATCCAATTTTAAAAAAGGTAAGATATCCAATAATCTAGGATCCAATTTTGGTACTATCTTCAGTTGCAAGACGTCTTTCAATTTAAATTTTCGCTTTGCAATTCTGGTTACTGCTAATAGTTCTTTTTTGCGTTACGGTTTTTTTTATTTAGGGGGAGGGGGGTCGGATTTTTTACTTGTTTGTTGTATTTGAAAAGGGGAAAACTCACTGTGGTAGTTTATTTTCAAAATATCAAATTGTACACGGAAGTCAGCAGGGCGAACATCCAAATGTGGACAAAAACATTTTTTTAAATAGCCTTTATCTTGTTTTTCTACTGTTAAAACAAGTTTTACTAGCTTCCTTAATTTTGGTGTTGAAAAAAAGACATTTTCGCAGATTTAAAAAACTTAAATTCAACTCACAGTGCAACTGTTATTGATTTGTTTCAAAGGATTTAAATAACGTGTCTTCCTATGTAAGTAAAGTTCCTTTCAAACCGGACGGTTTATGAGGCAAGTGAAGTAGAGTTCACTTGTTTCTGTGACCTCGGCATATGTAGAGATAGTGTGGTCAGCACTATGCCCAGCCGCCTTTACTTTCCCTAACGTTAGTTAGGTACCCATCAGAGCTGGGTGAACTCAGGGACGGTCTACTGACTTGAACCAGGATTCGAACTCGATACCTACGGGTTAGCAGTCCAGCTCTCTACCGCTAGGCCACTCCGTCCCATGTGTCTTCCTATGAGATGTGACAAATTTTTAATAAATCAAGTTGGTCGGTAAAACTTCATCTTTGTTTTCTAAGAGTTCAGGCATTTTTTTCAAGAGCTTGTGTAAACGATACCAACAGAAACATTTCGATAGCCAACCAAATTGTGTGTAGAGTCCACCCAGCTCTAATGGGTACCTAACTCACGTTAGGGGAAACAAAGGCGGCTGGGCATAATGCTGACCACACTATCCCTTTATATTGCGAGGTCCCTGAAACAGACGAACTCTACTTCATCTGCCCCACGTGTCTTCTGCATGAACGGGAAAAGATGATGATGAACAAATTTTTGTGAGAAGTAGCTGACGATTAAGTCTACAAAAGTATTTTAGGATTCTTTTTTATCATTCATGGTAATCAAAATTTTATGATTTTTCCTATATATATATATATATATATATATATATATATGTGTGTGTGTGTGTATATGTGAATATATATATATATATATGCCCATATATATATATATATATATATATATATATATATATATATATATATATATATATATATATATATATATATATATATATATATATATATATATCCTTCCATGTATAAAACATCCTCCCAGTAGAGTTACGTGTGGGCTAAACCTGCTGATACTTGAGTAATGTGTTACTGGGTTCGACAGGTTTCGACGGGTTTCCTTGTAAGTTGCTTTTAAAGATTAAGGCATTAATGGTATCAGACAGAAGGGTGGCGTCTCAGCTTAATAATCACGACGTCAGTACTATGGTGCTAGACGGAGCCCCCCGGCCTCCCCCTCCTCTTGTCACAAAGTATAAGTCACCAGACGCCTATGATATTGAAGTATACACCTGAAGGAAACCCAGGGATCTAAAAACTGGCTTTTTGTATGAGAGGAAAGCTTTATCTTGCTACGATCTGCCTGGCTCTAGCCGGTTATGCCAGTGTTTAAAGAATGAAGTAGCTTATAGTAGATGTGCTCGCTTCACCCAACCGTGATTTGTGTGTATTCTTCAGTGCGTCACTCATCCGTAGCAGATGTGTGTATCATGTAGTACTGCATTCATTTGTTGGAGGGGGGGGGGGTGTAGTTCCATATTTAGTTAATTCGTGAATTTTTTTCTATCTATCTAGTAATATTCATCGCTAAGAAAAAAAAATCCCATTGGCTGTTGTGTCGATGCTCAGCATATTTTAAAGTATTTGTAAGCTTGTGTAAATTTAGAACATTATCGTGGGTATTATTACTTCACACAATCATCTGTATAGTAGTAGGGGTCGGCGTGGTCGAGTCGGTAAAGCTAAACCGAAAAGTCTCGAGTTCGAACCCTCGGGCAGATGAGGCTCGTTAGCTGGGGACAGCCACTCTTCTAGGAGAGACAACTCCAAAATCAAACAACTGCTGCCTTGTAGTTTGTTCTTGGCTTGACAAAAGGCTATGGAAGCAAATCCAAAAAGAAAAGCAGGCTGAAATCGGAGTCAATGGCCTCAATGGCGCATAACCAGTTGACACGTATCCTTAATTGTGATGGAGGCGTGGTCGAGTCGGCAAAAAAG